TCCATATATATATATATATTAAATAAGGGCAAAAAAAAAAACAGACTCCCGTTTCGCGTTCGGGTAAATCGCGGCGACACCGCTGCCCCAAACAACAGAAAAGGGCGGTACCGCGTCGCCGCTCTTGCAAAATTGGCTCAAGTTTGCCGGATCAACGACAAATTTGTCCAGATTTTGGGTGTTAGGAAATAGGGGTGTAAACGAACAGAGCTTGTGTTCGTGTTCGATTCGTTTGAAATTTAATTTGTTTGAAATAAGTTCGTGTTCGAAATTGTTCGTGAAGTCACTGTTCGTTTTTTAACGAATGAGCCGAACACGAACTGTTCGCGAATTAAGACCTATGTGGTATATAACATCCCTAATATTAATATATATATATATATATATTACTATAAAATTTAATTTTTAAAATATCATAAAATTTTTTATATATAAATATTTTAAATTATTTTAAAATATTTTATATTTCTAACAATAGTAATTCGAAAACTAACCAACACATTTGTGTTTAGTTAACGAAAAAAAAAAAAAAAAAAAAAAAGTTTACCTCGTCTCATTTAGCAAATCGAACAAGAACTCATTCAAGAACCGAGCAGGAACTGTTGGCGAACAAAGAGCTTCTTTGAAAACCGGCTGCTGTACGCGGTGCCCTAGCTGGGAATTGCGGCGTTACAGAGGTCTCCCACGCCCTTCGCGACCTTCTCTTTCAACTTCTCTCCTACCCGCGAAGTTGAATATATATTATATAACTTCTCTTTCAACTTCTCTCCTACAGAGGTCTCCGACGCCCTTTGCGACCTTCTCTTTCAACTTCTCTCCTACCCGCGAAGTTATATATATATATATATATTATAACTTCTCTTTCAACTCCGCTCCTACCCGACTAACTGTCTATCTCTTCATTCATCCCATCCCCCTTCGCGCTTCAGCTCCGATAAATCCTTAAATCCCCCTTTAGTGTTCGATGACAGCTGCGGACGAGGCGGCGAAGCGAGCGCTGACGTCGACTCGCTTCTCCGACCTGAACCCTCCTCTTTCAGAACCCGTTCTCGAAACCCTAGTCAGTGGCGGCTTTGAGTTTTGCACGCCTGTTCAGGCTGCCACTATACCTTTGCTCTGCAACCACAAGGACGTCGCCGTTGACGCTGCCACCGGTTCCGGAAAAACCCTAGCGTTTGTGGTCCCCTTCACTGAGATACTTCGGCGTTCCTACTCGCACCCGAAGGCCCATCAGGTCACCATTTACCTTTCTCTTATCCATCGGTCTATTGACATTTTTCCTTGGGTGCCATATATGGTTTGATTGGGGGTTTTAAGGAAATTGATATCGTGGTAGTTGCAACTCATCGTGTATAAGATAATGCTGATGAGCTTTTGGTTTGATTTATTACGTAGTTGTGAGTTTCGGGTTCTTAAAAAAATTATATTGTACTAGCAAATCATTAGTTTTCCAATTTCTTACTAGCTTTCTTTGCCAAATCATGCTTGGATACTTATAAAAATAGAATCTTGTTCGTGAAATGAGAAAGAAACCGTTGTAATGCTTATTAAGTCCATTGCCATTGTCACCACTTTACATGGAAAGTTTCTTTTCTTTAGTTCAACCAGTAATTTTGCTTCATCTGCTCTGGATTTTATTAACTCTGTTGATACTTATGGATGAGATCTGTAGTTATAAAGTTCTGAAAAAAGAGAATGAAAATAGAATAAGAAAGATGATCCCATTATTTTATATGTCGGGTTTCCCATTGATTTCTGGCTTAATTTTTGAAAAATTCAAGTGCCATTTGCAATTTTACATACATACAACATAATTCTTATGCATTTACATATCTAACACTAAACATTCATATTTTCATGTATACCACTTGGCTCTTTAAGATTACATAAAAAGTACCACTATCACTATCTTTTTAGAAGTGAAATACACCTTTTCATGCATAGTTTCATGATGCCAAGGTGTTATAAGTGGAAATAGCAAATTTTGGGTGTTAAATATGTAAATGCATAAGAATTGAGTGGTATGCATTTAAATTTCCCAAAAAAAAAAAAAAGGAATCTGGGACTGTTTTACTGTCAATCCTCTGAAGCTTATGGCTGAAATTTTGTAATTGTGCTGATCTATGGATTTTATTTGATAATTTCTATTGTGCAGGTTCTTGGAATCATTATTTCTCCTACAAGGGAATTATCTACACAAATATACCATGTTGCACAACCTTTCTTCTTAACAATCCCCGGTGCTATGGCTGTGCTTCTTGTTGGTGGGGTGGACATAAAAACTGATATCAAGAAGATAAAGGACGAAGGTGCAAATATACTTGTAGGTACTCCTGGAAAGATGCATGATATAATGGAAAGGCTCGACATGCTCGACTATCGTAACTTTGAGGTATTTCCTTGAAGATCCACTTACTTAATGATAATTTATGACCTGTTATCACTAAGATACTGACGTGTATATATTTTTTTCAAAGATCAGAACAGAAATCAAAGCAGTTAAGTGCATGAAAATGGCGTTTTAATTATGCAAAGGACATACATTTTGTGTTTTCTGTATTCAGGGAAGCTAAATTTAACGGGAATATTTATCTAACTGCAAAGTAGCTCTACTCTGACAAATATTAGGCAACAAACAGTCACCAGCACTAAAATCTCAATAATTACGTTGCTATTCCATATATTCCCGGATATACTATGATAATTTACATGCGCAAAATTGATTCACTAATACACTCCACAATCCACACCATTTGAACCTGAGAAAATCATTTAAATGGACGTGAGTATAAATATCATGCAGGTTTTTACTGCATTTAAAGCTACAGTGAAACATAAAGTTGAATGGGCTTAGAAGGAACTTAATCAAAACATCTTAAATGAACGCTATCCTTGATGTGTTAATTGATTTTGTGCTTTGTTATTCAACATTGTAGATTGGTCAAAGCCTACCTTATGGGCAATGCATTGTGCATTTTACTTGATCTACTCGATTGAAAGTTGGTTGAATTTCCTTTAGTAATTGAGAAAGTGTTAGTTTGTATGATTTGCTACCTAGAAATTCATTTTACTAGGCATATTAGGCGGAAGGAGATTGGGGACAAGACGATCACTGCGGTTCCCTGTTCTAGGTTGAAATCCTTCAAATTGATTTCTGCAACTCTGAATCGCATGTCTCCCCATTCCGCCTTTTGACACTGTTTCAACCTTCCAGTTTTCACATTATTTTTTCCAAGTGTCATCGCTTGAGTCTGTCTCTAATTCATTCGCTCGATCCACGGCTCCAAACCCTCGTAGGGCAATGTCATTGACTTGATATCGCACAAATCCTTCTAGTTGTTGCCGCTCTCGCTTGCTCCAAACGCTGTCGCTCGATCTTGCTGCAGGCAGCTGCAAATTTGTGTGAAACTATGTAATCTTATTCATTATTTCTTACAAGCAGGAGAATCTTCCCTTTGTGGATGAGAACAACCCCTCTGTGGAAGAGGAACACTCCATTCCAAATGTGATTTGGCTCACCTTTTCCTCTAATTTCTTTTTCAAAGAATCTACTTTTTTGGCTGAGACATTACTACTAGGACAACTTTAGATCACGAAAGTGAAACTCCTATCTACCACAATCTCGACGTTAGCTTCTCAACTAGCTCAAATCGTGATGTTAGGTCATGGAGGCACGTGTTTGTACCTCACGATCCCGTTGTTTGCTTCAAAATCAACAAAAAATCGCGACTATATTGTGCATCTGTACCCCGCGTTCCCCATGATGTTGTTGTTGGTTTCCCAATTATGTAAAAATGCGACTGTATTGCAAGGTTCAATCGCGTCTGTACGTAGCGATCCCGTTGTTGGCTTTGGCTAGGTCAAATCGTGATTGAATCACAAGATACGAAGTCTTGTGGCTCTGAACAGTGAAAGGATGCAAACGACAGACTGAATCTTTTTGTTCTCGTATCAATTTGATAGGAACTTCTGTAGAAATCAGCTCAAAACAAATTATTTTAAGTACACCAACACAAAACGACACAACCATAATACATAAAAGATGAGCACGCCCAATTCGAGAGGTAGGTGATCTCTCGCAAACCTTGATACTTACAATTTGAGATGTAGGCGATCCTCCCAAACACCCACCTAACCCTCAAATTTAAAATTATAATCACATATGCATTACCTAATTTTAAATATAATTAGCCCTATTTGTACGCCACAATAATGACTAATAAAAGACTAAAATGCTCTTAGGCGCCAGTCTAACGTAATCATTTAGGCTTATTGCTAAAATGTACTACTTGCATTATTCATTACGAATCTTATTGTAGAAGGTGATTCTGAGTTCTAGGGTGCTTAATTGACGCCTAAGATTACTCTCGTTTAGTTAGAATTTTGTCTTTTCGGGAGTAATCATCTATATTTGTTGTTAAAAGAAACTTCTCGCACTAGTTTTTGCGTATCTTGCACAAAGAGAAGAGTTTCAGTTTTAGGGTGTTCAATTGATGTCAAAGATGAGCATCTCCTTTTGTTATATTTTTATGCTTGCGGTTTTAATTTTTTATACTTCACATTATATGAGACTCTCATATTATCATTGTAAATCTTTTCTCAATGGAGAATTTGAATTTTTGGGCTAGATCTTCGTCTTGCAGTGCTAAAAAAATTTTTGCGCAAATTTTTGATTTAGGTGATTTGCATTAGTGATGAAATGTTGAATAAAATTTAACAAGCTTGATTCTTAGGCATGCTAAATTTTGTTCGTTCTTAACGAATGTTAATGATTCCTCATGTCGAGTTTTTGTTTGTAAAGGGGAGAGGTGCCCAACCATAAGTGTATTCTATGTTATTCCTTGTGCTAAGTACCCCAAGTTAGTGTGATGAATAAATGACATCTTAAAGTATTGTATGGCTTAACAGGGAGGTGATTGATTTGAAAGAAGCCATACGATCCATTGGATTCATCCTCTCTTTGTAAGGTGGGGGATTTTTGAATTTTTCGGCGGTACTGCTTCAACAATCTCTTTAGAGAAAGCACCGGTCAATTGTGAATTTCTTTTCTCAACTCGCTGAGTCGGGGTGGAGTCTTCATTGTTGTTTGGATAGTAGGTGTCATCCTTTGTTTGATGGGAAGATAGTGCTCTAGTGTTTGGTAGGTTTCCTTAAAGATAGAGTTAGATGATCCCTTAGGCACTTTTTCTCTTAGGAGGGTTTTGGTGGCTTGCTTTAGGTTCCCTTGGGTAATTTTCTTTTCCATCTCCGCTAGCTATTTACTGGTGATGAAATCTTGGAGATCCATGTTGATAAAATATCCTAGGATGGTTGCTTCGCTTCACAAAGTGATTAATTTCTTGTTGGTGGCATCAATTCATGCTCATCGCACCTAAGAAATTATTTTATCTAAATTTGTTTGTTGGCGACAATTGGGTTTTACAAGACAGAGATATTGATAGAGAAAGGAGGGAGGGAGAGAGGGATAACTAGACTTTACAAGATAGAGATGTTGATAGAGAAAGGAGAGAATAGAGAGGGAAGGAGGGAGGGCGCGAGACTGAGAGGGCGAGGGCGAGGGCGAGAGAGGGTTTAGGGGGGAGATGCCCAATTCCATAAATGTATTCTAAGTTAATCCTTGTGTCGAGTACCCTAAGTAATGTGATGCATAAATGACATCTTAAAGCATTATAAGGATTAACGGGAGGTGGTTGATTTGAAAGAAGCCATATGATCCATGGATTTATCCTCTCTTTGTAAAATTCAAGGTGGGGGATTTTTAAATTTTTCGGTGGTGTTGTTTCCACGATCTCTTTAGAGAATGCACTGGTTAGTTGTGATTTTTTTTTTTTCTCAACTCACTGAGTCGGGGTGGAGTCTTCATTGTTGCTTGGATAATAGGTGTCATCCTTAGTTTGATGGGAAGATAATGCTCTAGGGTTTGGTAGATTTCCTTGAACAATAGAGTTAGATGATCCCCTGGGTGCATTTACTCTTAGGAGGGTTCTGGTGGCTTGCTTAAGGGTCCCTTGGATAAGTGTCTTTCCCCTCTTTGCTAGTTGTCTGCGAGTGAAGAATTTGAGAAGATCCATGAGAGCGCGGGCGAGAGGGTGAGGGCGAGGAGGAAGGCGAGAGAGCGAGAGGGAGGGAGGGAGGGGGAAGGAGAGAAAAGGAGAGAATACAGGGAGGGAGGGAGGAGAGGGAGAGAGGGGAGGGCTAGCAATTTTTATTTTTTTGTGAGGCATATTGCTTATTTACAATGCACTTTAAATTTTTGGCGGGGATACAATTGTTAATGCACCATCAACCGTAGAAAATTCCAATCCACCTAATTTCACCTCTCATATGAGGGTGGTTACTTCATTAGTCTAGAAGCAAATTCATTGTTCCCTATTTATTTCACTTGCCTAGCTTCAACAAGATATTGCCTTAAGTTTATCTTTTACACGCTTTAGCTTTGACAATATGAATTTATAAAAGGATCGATCCACTGGAGAACACAACAGCCTTCAATTGTTGTTCTAACATCATTTTAGCTCAAACTTGGAGTCTCCATGGTTAGTTGATTTTTTGAGATGAACATGATCTTTTTTTTAATGACTTTTTGATTCTCATTCCTTGTTCTTCTTATAACTTTGTGCAACATTTCTTTTATGTTGCTTCTTTTTTCGTTACAGGTTTTGATTCTTGATGAGGCTGATAGACTCCTCGAAATGGGATTTCAAAAACAAATCACTTCCATTATATCTCGGCTACCGAAGCTCCGTCGGACAGGTCTTTTTTCAGCCACTCAAACTGAGGCCATTGATGAACTTTCCAGGGCTGGTTTAAGGAATCCCGTGAGGGTTGAGGTTCGTACAGAGTCTAAACCAACAGCAATTCTGGCATCCTCAGAAGAATTAACTTCAACAAGAACACCTTTTGGCCTTCAAATAGAGGTATATCAATTTTTTAAAGGAAGATTTACATACATGCCACTCAATCCGTAAGTGTTTACATATCTAACACCTAAATTTCAATTTTTACATCCATACCGTTTTACCTATGCATGAAAATGTGCATTTCACATTTTAAAAGCTAAAATTGTGGTATTTTTGATTTGATATGAATGATTTGGGTGGTATAAATGTAAAAATTACTTAGATATTAGATTTATAAATAAGTATGAATTGGATTGTACATATGTTAAAGCCCTTTTTTGTTATTAACTGTTCCTTTGGTTTCCAAAGTAAAATATTCAATTTTTAGCACTTTATATTTATTGCTATTTTGGTCATTTATTTGCCATTGCCAATTTATGCACCCTTCATGACCAAGTTATATTCAAATCTTTTCTTGATCAAGTGTATTTGCTATATATTTATCATGCAACATTTCCGTGTATGTTGATGTGCATCTCATTGTGCCATGAATATCATTTTGAAATTTGAAATTCGTTATGTTAAAGTGAATTTAAATTATGATTTTGTATTATAATTAGTTGAAATCTATTATTGAGTCCGTTATTTGTAAGAAGAGCTATTTCCATTTTCTCTTTTTTTTCATTGGTTGGTTCTGTTGTGTTGGATTTCCTTATTTTTTTGTTTTGGCTCCTCTGTTTTATGGTTCTTTTCACTCTCATTCCATGGCTCCATTTTGGCTGGAAGCTCTTAATCTTATTTGTGAGACATGTTTTTGGGTGTTGTAGGTATTGATGCTTTATTGGGATTGTGTAGAGTTAATAGGTAATTCTTTGATCATTTCCTTTTCTTTGGGTATTCAATGAGGGGATTTGAGCATTGAAAGAAGAAAACTCTGTGTTCTATAAAAATTGCTTTGGTTACGTGAAGTTTTCCTCTTTTGGGATATAATTTCTTGATTTGGTGTGGAGACCTTATAACTTTTGGAAAGCCCGTTTCTACTGTACTGTCTTGTTTTTCACTGTTTCTTTCCCGTATCTCTCTCTCTCTCTCTTTCTCTCTCACAATTTTTTATCTTTTTTTGTGTAATTTCATTTGTGTTAATGAATTATAATTCTTAATTGTATTTCCATTATTTCCTAGTATAAATAATGCCAATACTCTTTCTTCATATAAATTGGGATTTACTAATTTTAGTTTTCTTTGAAGTAGAAAACAATTGCTTTATGTTTAACAACCTGTTGGTACATAAGTGGCATGCCTATTGCATTGGTCAATTGCATTATGTCCGCATATTGTATGCTGGCCATTGTAGATCTTAGAACATATCTAACGCCGAAAATTCAATTTTACATAAACCACCTTATGCATGCATGGAAATTTGCATTTTTTACTTTTTAAAAGTTTAAATGGTGTCTTTTTAATGTTATATGAAAGATTTGGGTGCTATAAATGTAAAAATTAAGGTTGAGGTGTTAGAAATGTAAATGCATAGGAATTGGGTTGTATGCACGGAGATGCTTCATGATATAAAGATTTAAAATCCCCTAAAGTCTTCTCAAGGAGGATTAACCATTTGTGGCACCACGACCACAGGCTGTCTGCTCAGAGAAGTTTGTATGGAAATAACTGTAGGAATATTATGAAAACTTTAGTTATGTCATTCATCTCATTTATTTTGTTTGATTTACTGTTATCTTTGTCACGATCCAGCCCGGGGCTTGGAATTAATCAAAACGGGAACGAGAGGTTGGACGGTGGAAATCAAATCTCTCCTATTCTAACTCTATTACTAACAATTTAATATTCAAAATACTACATGAAATAACCACTAAAGAAAATAATTAAAATTAATAAGCAAACATTGTACAATTCTTGTTGTTGTTCTTCTCTTCTATTCATCTTGTTCAAATGTTTAAAACCTAAAAATAATATTAAAGCAACATAATGAGTTATCTAAAAATAACACAGAAGTAATCACACTTCTAAACTACAATAATCCAATGAGAAGAATTCAATATGTATGCTGCGAGTCTATGAGAAATCATATAATTTGCCGGTATTTCATATTTTATAAGAAATTTGATATATGTACATAATATGCTGGTCTTTTATATTTTATAAGCAATATGATATATATGCATAATATACCGGTCTTTCATATTTTATAAGCAATTTTATATATATACTTATAAGTAATCTGATATATACTAATGCATGCTGCAATAACCTTTTTAAATAAACACACTCAATCTACTATAAACATTTACTTTAACTTTACTTTTACTTTATACACTTTACATACACTTTTGTCTGTTCTGAAGATCACCATCAATAAAACCTAACAAACCGTTAGCTGATTTTGTCCCGTCGGCATAACAGTTAACGATCTAAATATAACAATTGTTTAGGGTGGAAAAACTCTTACCTGTCCCTGACCGATATTATTCCATCTGCGCAATGGTTAACAATGTAAACATCACAATTGTCTGGGGAGATAAACTCTGGCCTACTCGCCCCTGATCGAAATCGTCGGCACAACGGTTAGTGATTTAACATCACAATTGTCTGGATGGTAGAAAAATTTCTACGCACGTGGGTGCACTGACGTCCCCTGTCTGTACCATTAAAGGGTGAACTCTTCATCTGAACATGCACATACAAACATTCATATATAAGTTATTTCCTTCTTTCATATCATTCATTCTCTTTTATGAAACATTTACCTCTATCTGCTGATGAATAATGCAAATTTAATATCTTTATAAGTTATGAAATCAACCAACATGTGCATATTTATTAAAATTCTAGAGTTTAAATAATAATGTGACATATATATGTGATCATAAAATAAACTAATATGTATATCTCTACTAAAGTCATGCAATGATTTGGTATTATCCTAAACTAAACTGTTATGCAAATATATTTAACATGCAGATTTATCATGTCTGACAATATGAAGAATTTATTGTTGAACTAGGGAATGCATGAAATCAAACGTGCTATTTGAAGTAGAAATAATTATGGAAATTTAGAAAATATAATCGCTCGTCTCAATTACTAGGAGGCATCTTTATTAGCTTAATCCTCCACTTAACTTGCTCAAACCTTGCGCAGGGGTCATGCTAATCTTCTATATATCGTGCCAATTTTATAGTAGATTGAGTATGTTCATTTAGAAAAAAAAGGTTATTGATGCATGCATTAGCATATATCAGATTACTTATAAGTATATATATCGGATTGCTTATAAAATATAAAAGACCAACATATTATATATATATATATATATATATTATATAAAATATGAAATACCAGCGTATTATATGGTTTCTTATATACTCGTAGCATACATATTGAATTATTCTCATTGGATTATTGTAGTTTAGAAATGTGATTACTCCTGAGTGATCTTTAGATAACTCATTATGTTGCTTTAATATTCTTTTTTAGGTTTTAAACATTTGAACAAAATGAATGGAAAAGAAGCAAATGCATACAAGAGACGAGAACAACACGAAAATGTACAAATTTTTTGTTTTTGTTAATTTTAATTTCTTTCTTTAGTGGTTCTTTCATGAATGTTTGAGTGTCAAACTATTAGAGAAAAAAATAAAATATAAGTGAATTGATATCCATCGTCCGTTCCTGTCTTGGTTAATTCGAAGTCCCGGGCCGGATCGTGTCAATCATCATGATTATTAAACTTCAAATGTTTGATTTTGGATATTTAGCTATTCGACTATTATGGCTTTGAGTTGTCCGCTTGATTCTGACCTCTTATTGTTTCTTTCTTGCAGTATTTGTTATGTGAAGCAGAGAAAAAGTCATCTCACCTTGTTGAATTCTTGTTGCAGAACATATCAAAAAAGATAATAATGTAAGAATGTGAATGAACATCTGTTTTCCTTTCTAGTCTCCATGCATGCAAGTTTTCAGTGTTTTCATGTAATTATTGCTTACTACTTTCAGTTATTTCATGACGTGTGCTTGCGTCGACTACTGGGGCACTGTTCTACCACAGCTTTCTGTTCTCAAAAGCTTTCCTTTAATTCCTCTCCATGGGAAGATGAAGCAGGTTATTTAACATCATTAACCTATGAAATTGGTACTTTATTTTTACCTCTTATCTTGTTTGATTACTTTTTACTTTCTGTAGACTGCTAGGGAGAAAGCGTTGTCATCTTTCTCCACTCTTCTATGCGGTGCTCTTCTATGCACTGATGTAGCAGCAAGGGGATTAGATATTCCTGGCGTGGATTGGATCGTGCAGGTAAAATTTGTGTTGTAATTTGGGAAATAGTATGTTCTCTTGTATGTTACTTTTTATGATTTCTTAGTACTCCAGCAGTTGCAGTGTGCTATGGCTGTGAACCATATCAAAAAATATATTTATTCTTTGAGTGTAAGCCCATAAAAGTTTGGTAATGCGGATCTTAGCAAGAAATTTGAGCCATGGTAACTATTGGAAAGCATGTAAAATTGCATTTAAATCTGATAAATCATGATGCTATTACAAGTTTCTGTATAAATTTAGGAGAACAGAATGATAAGAAGTACAATGAAGGAGAATATCGTCATAGTTAGGATATATTATAATAATAAATATTATAGCTTTTTTTAAATATTAAGGATTTGTGATCATGTTAAAATTTAAAAATTATAATTGTAGTAATTCTAGTATCTCCCACACTCACAATTCTACAACAAGTAACTTTCAGAGTTTGTATGGTACCTGAAGAATTGTGAGATATAAGCTGAGCTATTTAACGGGTTTTCATATTGCTGACGTATCAAATCAATGTTAGATTATGACACCTCTCTGGGAGAACTGAGAACAATTGAGTGGTTGGCCTCATGCTAAATGTTGGTGTGCCTAAAGACTTACGGGCTATTGTCTAGTTGTTGAGAGTGAAGGTGTTAAGTGGCATTGGGTTACGAACATTGCCTAGATAAGAATGTTGAGATAAAATAAGTGATATAGGAAGATAGATCAGTGATGTGCCAAGCGCACGCTCTTGACAAGGTTTGAGTTGGTTCTGTCATGCTCTTGACAATGCTTGAGTTGGATAAGATAGACGATCCAAGCTATGAAGTCTCAGGCATCTAACAAGATAGAGGATAGAATTTCATGAGAGACCATGATTTGAGTGATGATTTGAGACCATGGAGATGAGTTGAGCTAGTGAAATTGAGCTAAAGCAAGGTAACCAAGCAGAACCAAGTGAATTCGCAGGTAACTACCTCCTTGATGAAAGACGAGAGCGATAAGCAATTTGAATCGAAAGAGATGCATAGACCAATCTATAGGAGACGTGACTAAAGCAATGAGATGCTAGATGCAACGTAGGGTCAAATTGCAAGTGAGCAAGCAGAGAGATAGAGGCTTATGATTGTGGCTCTAATACCATGTAGAAACCATAGAAAACTACATGTTTATTTTTTTAATCATGATGTTAATGCGAACATATCAATATAAAGACAAGACGAGTACAACAACAAGAAGCCTTTATCCTACTAAGTGGGGCCTGCTACATGAATCTTTTTTCTCAATTGCATTCGATTGAGTTTCATATTTTCATTTAATTCTAATTAATTAAGATCATTTTTTTATACAGTTAGCCCAACTTTTTTTAGATGTATCTGTGCCTTTTTTTTACATAATTTGAATATAAAACCTCTACTCTTCTAACTGGATTTTCAGATGGTTGACATTTAATGTGACTAAACCATCTAAAACGACTCTCTAATTTTGTCCTCCTTTGGAGCTACACCAACCCTATCACAGATATATTCATTTCACATTTTGTCTTTGAGTGTAAGCCACTCATCCACCTAAGCATTCTCATCTCGACAACGTTTAACTTAGTTTTATGCTTCTCTTTTAAAGGCCAACATTTTTGTGCCATAGAGCATTGCAGGTGTCGCCGCCATCTTATAAAATTTTTCTTTCAGTTTAAGCGATACTTTTCTATCACACAATAGACCCAAAGCATTCATCCACTTGAACCAACCAACTTGAATTCTACTAATAACATCCCCATCTATGTAACCATCACTTTGAACAATAGACTCGCGATATTTAAAACATTCACACATTTTAATGATTTGATCACCTATAGTTACAACTATGTCACTAGAGCTACTACTACTAAAATTATATTTCATATATTCAATTTTAGTTCTACTCAATTGAAGGCCTTTAGACTCCAATGTAAACCTCAATAATTCAAGTTTTTACTGAGCTTTTTCTCTAGTCTTATCCACAAGAAGGATATCATCAGCGAAAAGCATACACCAAGGTGCATCCTTCTGTAAATGTCCAGTAAGAGCATCCATAACTAAAGCAAAAAGATATGAGCTTAAAGTCGATCACTGATTTAATCCAACCGAAATAGGAAAATATTTGGTCAATCCTCCTTCTGTTCGAACACAAGTAACAACTTTAATATACATATCTTTAATGACTTGAATATAAGTCATATCAACACCTTTTTTCTCTAGAACTCTCTAAAGGATATTTTTTAGAACCTTATCATAAGTTTTTTCTAAATCAATAAAAATCATATGTAGATTCTCTTTATTCTCTATGTACTTCTCCATCGAACCTCTCAATAAATGTATAACTTCCATGGTAGACCCGTCTGACATAAATCCAAACTAATTATGTGAAATTTTTGTAATACGTGTTAACCTATATTCAATTACCCTCTCTCATAATTCTAAAGTATGACACATTAACTTAATTTCTCTATAATTTGCACATTCTTATGCATCCCCTTTATTCTTAAAAATGGGGACCAAAATACTCTTCCAACTCTCTTCAGATATCTTTTTAGTTTTTAAATTAATATTAAAGAATTTAGTTAGCCAAGAAACTCCTAAATGGGAATATCATAAGGTCCTATAGACTTTGCACCATTAGTTTTCTTTAAAGCCTTTTTAACTTCTTTTTTATTAATTTGGCGATAAAAATAAAACATTTTGTTATTATTAACAATATGAAGATCACTAAGGTCGATTGTATTTTCAAAAACTTCATTGAAAAGTTCATTAAAATAACCCACCCATCTATGTTGAATATCCTTTTTCAGAAAAAAAAAAATACTTTTTATTTTTCATCTTTAATACACTTTACTTGAGTTAAATCTTTACTTTGCTTTTTTCTCTTTGTTTTGCTATTTTTATTTATATTTTTTTACGATCTTTAATATCTAATCTATTATGAAGATCACTAATAACAAAAATTTTAGCGTCACAAATTGTTCTCTTAGACTCCTTACAGACCATTTTACCATTTTATTTCTTTTCTAGTTCTCTAAGCTTTTATATTTAAACTAGTTTTATTCCATAATTTCTTGTATTTTATCATTTCTTCCCTGTTATTATTCCACCACTAATTATTTTTATTTATAGAAACTTTTCTTTTGATTCTTTAAGTACATCTTATTTTACTTGTTTAATAGTCTTTGTTACTTTATACCACATAGAATTTGCATCATGAACATCTAAAATCTTGAAATCTTGAAGTTTACTCATAAAATTAATTTTATTTGTTTCTTTTAGAGGTCTTCATCTAATTTTATGATAATGATTCATAGTATTTTTTATTTTACAACTCTTCATCTTAAAATCGAGAACTAATAATCGATGTTGAGTACTTATATTTTCACTTGGAGTGACTTTACAATCTTTACATTCTCAACGATCTTTTCTTCTCATAAGAAAATAATCAATTTGTGTTTTGCTAGGTTCATTCTTATAAGTAATAATAATCCTATCTCTTTTCTTGAATAAAGTATTAATAATAACAAAATCATACGCTAAAGTAAAATCTAATATAACTCTATTTTCTTCATTAATCATTCCAAAATCGTAGTCGCCATGAATATTTTTAAATCTTCTATCACTCGAATGACATATCCATTTAAATCTCTTTCTATAAGAACTTTTTCTTCAAATGATATCATTTATATTAACTCTTCTAAATCATTCCATGACTCTTTTTTAGAGTCTATATCTAAACCTATTTGAAGAGCATAAACACTTATAATATTAAAAAATATTAGTATAAACAACAATCATAAGAGCTATAATTCTATCTCCAACTCTATTAATTTTTACAACATTTTCTTTCAAATTTTTATACATAATTACACGTACATCATTTCTAGTGCGACTCCTACCTGAATATTAAAGTTTAAAACCAAAGCTATCTATCTCCTTAACATTTTCTCCAGCATATTTAGTTTCTTGAATGTATAAGATATTTACCTTTCTATGAATTATAATATCAACTAGTTCCCTTAATTTACCCGTGAGAGTACTTATGTTACAAAATTTTATCTTAATATTAGTTTCATGGACTAACTTTTTTATCCGTCCATAGTGTGAGAACTTTTTCTTATTTAACACTATACACAGGCGCTGGTGCAGCGGTCCTTGCACACTTTTCATTGTATTCAGGTCATATAGCGCGTCGCTTCCAGGAGACGACCTAACATTATACAAAGATTAAAAGGATTCATGTCATGATTTTTTGACAAATTTTATGCTGACTACTGACTACCTAACGCAACTTTTTGCTTTCACATCTGAGGCTTGAGATGGTGTTAAGACAAGAGAAGAGTGTGATCAGAAAAATTCAATGAAGTAGAATATCCTCAATAATTTGCATTCATCACAACAATGAATTTTATGTCTCCGAACAAATATTAAGCATATGTGATTATTGCAATATAATAATTCTAATAAGAGTTACAACTCTTTCGCTAACTATTTAAATCAACCTCCAAAAAATAAAAAGAAAATGATATTATGAAAAATTTATCAATGAAAATTGAGCTATGGAAATATTTATTTCTCTGAACTTGTAAGGAGAAATATATGATGCATTTTGCTCAATTTCGTCAAGATTATTGTTTGATAAGTATATATTGCAGTTCCTTGCGTGTCCATTGTAAGAGTTTATGCAAGTTCATTTCTTTTTTCCTTGGCCTGTTTGTGGCAAGAAAGATTATTCTGTCTTCAAATTGTGAAACCATATTATTGGAACTTGATCTATTAGTTTGGAAAATTTACTTTTTTTTTTCGATCGCTGCGCAAAGGGGGAGCCATTTAATATTAAATTGGAGAACTAAAATTTTTTAGCGAGAGATTTTTCATTGCTTGGACTGTGGTAGCTGCACAGAGGTATAATGAGGTCCTAGGGTAGGAGAGAAGCAAGTTAATTGTCTCAGCATATTCACTTATAAACATGTCAGCATGTATGCAATTTGTAAGGGTTAATGGATCCAATTGTGTTCCTTCATCTCAATCTTATCCCACTAGGGCAAATCATGTAAAGACTCTAATCCCAATAATCTTGTAATCCTCTTCATCCTCGTTCTTCATACTATAGGATGCCAAGGTTTATACACACATTAAGATGCCTTCCAGTTTTAACCATATATGTTCCTCTTTTCTATTTGTTCTATCCTCTTTTTCATAGTTTTTAAAATCGGATCGGATTGGCAATTCAACTGTGGACTGATCATTCAACCGGTTCAGTACAAGCTCAAAACTGTTTCCGCATGGAGCCAAGATTGAACTGAACTGTTTAGAGCCAGGGCTGAACCGGCGAACCAGTGAACTAGTCCGATTTTCAATGAATTTAACCGTTCAAATATTGTTTAATTTTAATATTTTGGTTCTGATCGGATGGCTAAAATTAATATATTTAGATAAAAAATGGACAAAATATTGTCTCAAAATTTAGATTTAAATTATTTAAAAGTGTTCTCAAATTAAAATATTATTTATTGAATTAATAAAAAAAATTAATCTATCTTTATTATATTATTTAAATTATGTGAAAATAATTTAAATATTGTTATGTTGTCCAATTTAAGTCCAGTTAAATCATTGAACCTTGGTCCTCTCATTTTTTTAATTTGATGTTCGGTCCGGTTTTCAGAATCTTGCTCCTTCCTGGTTTTTCTTGTTCTCCCAAAATCCCAGTTTACTTGATGCTCTTTTCATGAGCAAAACACTCTCTTAAGTCTTAATTTAGCCAACTTTATCATCCTTATTTCTTCCAGTGGTTTTTCCCTGTTCTCCATGAGACACTGGCATGGGCCTGCTCACTTTTCCCTGTCCTCTTCGCGACATTCACTTAAATGAAATAAACCAATACTATCCGAGCTTTACATGTGAAGAATCGAATTTGATAGAGAAAGATGGCTAACTTTTTTTTTTTGTTCAAATAAGGTGGCTACCTTATTTCCTCTAGTGGTTTCTCCCTGTTCTCCATGAGATACTGGCATGGGTCCTTTTCCCTGCCCTCTTTGCGGCATTCACTTGATTGACCGAATAAACCAAGCGCTATCAGAGCTTTGCATGTGAAGAAATCGAAATTGATAGAGAAAAGGTGGCTAACTTTTTTTGTTCATATTCAGAATGATTTGTGAATTTGAAATTTATTCTCAGAAATTGATAATGAATGAAACTGTTTTTTCCTTAGTGCGAGCTTTGCTGCTGACAATCAAACTTGAGAGCTTCTCATCATGTCATAATTTAACAAATTTGTTCTGTTACTGTATCAGTATGACCCTCCACAAGATCCTAATGTATTCGTGCATAGAGTCGGTAGAACTGCACGGATAGGGAGGCAAGGAAATGCCATTGTATTTATCTTGCCAAAGGTTTGCTTATGTTTAGAGCTTTTAATTTTACAAATTGTTATACGAGGAGTCATACTTCTGGTTTGACTTATATTGCTCCTTTTACAGGAAGATGCATACGTAGAGCTTCTGAGTCTAAGAAGGGTGCCTATTCAAGAGAGAAAATGCTTCTCCCCGGCTCTCGATGTTATTTCTTTGGCAAGTTTCTTTTACATTTTTATGTGTCATATTATGTTTTACTTTAACATTTATATCATAATTGTTGAATATTATATTTTCGTTCCGTGCTTATCTATTTATTCAAGGAGCATTGAAATGCATACCACATAATTCTTATATATTTACGTATCTAGCACATTAACTTTCTTATCTCAAACTTTTGATCTCAAACTTTTGGGATCACATCAAAAGCACAATTATAACAAAACTTTTTAAAACTGAAATGCACTTTTTTATGCTTAGGTTTTTAAAACCAAGGTGTTATAAATGCAAATTCCTAATTTTAAGTGTTGGACATGTAAATGCATAAGAATTGAGTAGTATGTATGTAAATTTCCCTCGTCTAAATTATACCTTACATAAGACCGTGTTGCAGAGTAAGCTCATGTCATGAAAGCATGATGTGCTACTTGTTCAAGGAATTATTTTATTAACTGTGCTACATGATGTGCTACCTGTCCATTATCTGATCAATTGTTTTTTGTATTTCTGTTTTCTCTTAACACCTTTATCTTATGACATCTTTTAGAGGACTGAATTATATTCAAGGATCATCAGGTTTAGCTAACACTAAATTAGCAAGTTTTTTTCTATTAAAATGATCAGTCACTTGTTCAAGGAATCATTTTATTAACAATTAGAAGTTTGATCTGTCGAATTCCCGACATCATTAATGCAAAATATATAGTAATAAACATTTGGTCCTATATTGTGTTTAACATTTATATTAAGAAGTTTTTCATACATACCACCTAATTCTTATGCATTTACATATCTAAAACCTATACTTCAGTTTTTTACATATATGCCACCTTATCTATGCATGACAAGGTGTATTTCACTTTTTAAAGTTAAAATAGTGGCATTGTATATGTGATATGAAAGATTAGGGCAGTATAAATGTAAAAAAGTAAAGTTTATATGTTATATACGTAAATACATAAGAATTGGGTGGTGCCGTATGTAAATGTCCCATTTATATCATAACAAAATTGGTGCATGGCAACTTGCTGGTATAGGGATTTGGGAAGTTATTAATTGTTATTATCTAAACCTCAGAAATGTACACATGAGCTCACAATTTTCATTATCAACGTTGCAATACTTTAGGTTTAACTTTTTGGTTTCCTGCCCTACAATAAAATAGAGTTTTTTGTGAGGGTTTATATGTGACAAGTATTATGAGCTTTGTGGCTGTGGGTTTTTTTTTTTTTTTTTTTTTTTTTTTTGTTTGGTTTAAGCATTACATGTGACCTTATTGTAGAGGATTTTCTATCTTCCATTCCAAATTACACCCCCACCAACCTACTAAATAAAGAAAAGAAAATTGGATTAGGATATCCTGACTAAAATTTTGTTCGCGAAAAGTATCAAACGGTCCCTTGACTTTTTGTCGGGAGTTATTTTAGTCTCCGAGTCTATAAAAATGTCAATTTAGTCCACAAATTCTTTTAATGTGAGTTATAATAGTTCTCCTTATGGATTATTTCAGCTCGAATTAAAAGAGCATGAGAACTAATTTGACGTTTTTATTGACTCTTGACTAATTGACCCCATTTAAATAATCAAGGGACTATATTAGCACTTTACTTTTTGGTTGGAATGAATGTTTAAGCCATTCAATTTTCCTCGAGATTAATGTAACATATTAGGAATCAACAAGATTCTTATTGCATTCATCTCCAAGTAAATCCAACATCTGTGTGTTCTTTTCCGAGTAAAATATTTGTCATCATTCTCCCAACTTCTCTAATTATTGAGTAAAATTAAGTCATCACATTTTTTGTTTGGGTGATTTAATTTTCTGATAAAATGTATAGCTATTTTGGAATTTTACTTTCAATTTTTAGTCTTTCAATGCATGCTTGTTAAATGAATTTGTGGAGCATTCTCACTTCTGCAGATAAGGTCTGCTGCAATGAAAGATCGCGCTGTCATGGAGAAGGGTCTTAGAGCATTTGTCTCATTTATTCGTGCTTATAAAGAGCATCACTGTTCTTACATCTTCAGGTTTTATCTGTTATCAATTTTCCTTTTTTTAGGGAAATTTACATACCTAGCACACAATTCCTATGAATTTACACACCCCACACATAATTTTTCATATTTACACACATTGCACTTTGGTGGTTTAAACCTTTTTATGAAAAAGGTGTATTTCACTTTTAAAAAGTGGTAATAGTTTTTTTTTTCTTATGTGATATTACAGCTTTGAGTGCTATGTGTGTAAATATGAAAGTTTAGGTGTGAGACATGCAAACACATAATAATTGTGTGTTATGTTTGTAAATGCCCCTTTTTTTGATTGAAGCTACTCAGAACTTCTATTTTCTGATACACAATCCCTTCATTCACAGATGGAAAGAACTGGAGATAGGGAAATTGGCAATGGGATATGGCTTACTGCAGATCCCATCAATGCCTGAGATTAAGCATTATTCTTTATCCATTGATGGTTTTACACCCATGAATGATGTTGATATTTCTAATATTAAATACAAGTAAGTTCCTTTTTTCTTTCTAGTCAAAGTCAGCTAATTTGAATTGTTTATAAAAAAATACCAATTTTGTCCCATGATTACGTGCGAAGGGCCACAATAGGCCCTTATGATGTAAAATGTCAATTTAGACCACAAACTTCTTAAGTAGGAACCAAAATCATCCCTCGACATAACAGGACTGTTTTAGCCCATATTTAAAGAGTTTGGAGACAAATTTATTTTTTATTTAAATAGTATAGGGATTAAATTAGCCTTTTATATAATATGGGTCATCTTACCCTTTGCAAATTGTCGGGGGATCATTTTTTATTTCTTTCTCTTTGTTTCTATATTTCTTTAAAAGAAACAACAACATCAACAACAACAACAATGAGCTTTTATCCCACTGAGTGGGGCTGGCTACATGAATTCTTTTTCTTCATTGTGTCTTATTGATAGTCAAATTTTTATTTAATTCTAATAATTTAAGATCATTTTTTAATACAATATTCCCAAGTCTTTTTAGGTCTTTCTTTACCTTTCTTAACATAATTCGAATCTATAACACCTACTCTCCTAACTGAATCATCAGATAATCGATGTTTAATGTGATCAAACCATCTAAGACGACTCTGTCTAATCTTATCTGTTATTGGAGCTACACCAACCATTTTACGGATACATTCGTTTTCGTTTCACATTTTGTCTCTAATTGTCAAGTCACTCATCCACCTAAGCATTCTCATCTCAACAACACTTAACTTAGTTCTATGCTTCTTTTAATTAGTAATTCTCAATTGTTAATATTCCAGAGACAAAGCTCGCGAAAAACAAAGACAGAAAACACGCCAGAAAGAAGCAGAACCTCATCACCCAAAACCAGAAACTGGGAAGCAAAATTTGGAACATGCTCCAACTTTGTTAAGAAAGAAAACCGGAAAACAGCGAAAAGCCATTCGGACGAAAGAAGACGACGAAGAACTGGAACGCGAGTACCGGTTATTGAAAAAACTCAAGAGAGGGGCCATTGATGAAAGCGAGTTTGATAAACTTACTGGTTTTGCAAGTTTTGAGGAAGAAGAAGAAGATGAAGATGATCCTGAGTCCGCTATACTAAAAACATCAAATCTTTCTAGGCATAAAAGTAAAAAGCAGAAGTTGAAGCATAAAGGGAGTTTGAAGAGATCAGAAATGAAAAGAGGGCTCTCCAAAGGTAAATTTTTTAAGTCTAATTTCATTGCCAGGGCTCCTGTGAAGAAGAAATGATTGATGTATATTGGGGCATTTAATTACATAGCATCCAATTCTTATGTATTTATGCATCTAAACACCTAAACTTAACTTTTTTACATTCATGCCACCCAAATCTTCATATCACATCCAAAATACCACTATTTTAGCTTTTAAAATGCGGATATGTGGTATATGTATGTAACAATTGAAGTTTAGATGCTAGATATGTAAATACAAAGGAATTGAGTGGTATGCATGTAAATCTTTCTTTAGAGTTTGATTGACTTACTTAGAATATAGCAGTTTGTTCAGTAGTTATGGGCCATGTCTCGCTAAGGAAGGAGATTTGTTGAATGGGGGAAAGGGTTGAGAGAGTTTGTTTTAGGAATAGGAATGATGATATATTATTTTGTTTTAATTTGATTTATTTTTATTTATTTATTTATTACTTTAAATTGATATACATATTTGATTATTTGTTTATTTGTCAATTTATCAATCAAATGGCAAAATTTATACTAAAATTTAAACTTGGATTTTTTTTTTTTTGAGAAATTTATATGCATACCACACAATTTTAATGTATTTTCATATCAAACAACACTTGTTTTAAAATTTTTTGCATGAAAATGTAACTATTAAAAAGTTAGTTATGGTGTATATTTGAGTGGTATGGATGTTAATATGAATGTTTTTGTTAGATATATAAATATATAAGAATTGGTGAAGTTTTTTAGATATCTCGAGTCTGTTATTCAAAGTGATGACAATATGATTGGGGGATGTTATTAGTTGAATTCAAGTTGGCTAGTTGAAGTGGAAGAATGTTTCGGGCCTATTGTATGATGGAAAAACATTACTCTGACTGAAAGGAAAATTTTATAAAATGGTGGTGAGGCCTGCAATGTTCTATGACATTCAATGTTGGCCTTTTAAAAGAGAAGCATAAAATTAAGTTTAAGTGTTATCGAGATGTCAATGCTTAGGTGGATGAGTAGATGAATATATTTGTGATAGGGTTGGTGTAGCTTTCGTGGACGATAAAATTAGAGATGTCTTAGATGGTTTGGGCACATTGAACGTCGCACTCAATAGGATGCGGGAGAAAAAAGGATTCATGTTGACGGTCCCACTTAGTGCGATAAAGCTTGTTGTTGTTGTTGTTATTGTTGTGTGGAATGCCAATCATCTTGGCCTAGTGATTAAGGGTCCGTTTGGGGCAGCTTGTGCGTTTCAGGATAAACTAATCCTGAAACATGACTGCGTTTAGTGTAAAAATTCAAACGCAGTTTCGAATAAGCGGCGAAACGTGCAAACCAAACGGTACGACGGTGTTTGAAAACACCGCCTGTACTTATAAGCTGCCCCAAACAAACCCTAAAATGATTGCCTTTCAACCAAGAGGCTTAGGTTCAAGGCCTTGCACATGTAATGTTTACGTATTTGCATGTGTGAAAAACTGTTTGAATTGTGGTACAACATAAATGCCCAGTTTTATATTTATTAAATTCTCAATGATTTGATTGATGTAATGCTCGAATGGAGTTTGAGTTTCATTTTATTGGAGCATTTGCTAACATAGCATACAATTCTTATGATTTTATATATCTAACAATCGAACTTTGACTTTTACTCTTCTAGCACTCAAATTTTTCTATCATAAAAAAAAATATTTCTATGAAATTTTAAATGGAAATGAATTTTTTTGATGCATAGGTATAAAGTGGTATTAATGTAAACATTAAAATTTAGTTGTTAAATATCTAAATACATAGAAATTGTGGTTTTTCATAGACTTATTTATATATTCAAGTGTTTTTTTTTTTTTAAAAAAAGAAAGAAGATTATTTTGCGTAATGTATAAGTTTACGTGGCGTATATGTGCATTTGAATGAGGCATTTTTATAGTGTTTATTTGTCAAGAAGTGTTTGTGGCCATATCCGATGAATGAGAAATGCTATATCATTAATTGTCCACATAACTCAAGTCTAATATTGCGTACTTCAGCTGCAAAATTGGGATAATTACAGTCAAAATATCTCCCGGCCTCAGCATGTGAGGAATGGCTCATCGAGTTAGTATCAACAGATCCAGGGTTGTGCCAAGTCTTGTGTGGGGCTGTACACATGGAAGCGAACAATCTTTGAAGTCTCGGTATGAGTGAAATAAAAGAGATGCTTGTATAGAGTTTTTTTTTTCCTCCTCCTTTGTTGGAATCTATTCGCACCACAAAATCGACAATGCCTAGACTGCATTGGCCTTGTAATATATCATGCATTCATTAACACATTAATCGATTTTCTTACATTGTAACCCTAACTTTGAAACCAACTTTTTCATTTTGTACCGGTCATCCGACATTAAATTCTCTGCAGGGTTAGTCTCTTTCAATAAGGTTGCTGAATGCTTCTCTGGTCCTGTTAAAATCTAGTTTAATGGTCAACATTCTCAGAGTCATAGATAACTCTGTATGTGCAGTGCAACCATCTCATAAAGATTGTTGTGAAGCATTCAACAAGTCATAAAACTTTTGTGATTCATTATTCGGCGTTTCAAGTTCGTGTTGAACACTCCCAACAAATTGAGTTCTTGGAGTATTATGAACCATTGATCAAATTTCTATGTAGGGGCTGAAATTGTTGAGACACCTTATTGATCAAATTGAACTTCAGGTTCTTGCTCACCATGTGCAATCCAGTATCAATAATTTGGTTTGAATCCCTTGCGATAAATATCCAACTTAACTTCTTCGGGTGATAGAATTACTTGATTTTTAGGTTTCACACAAAGACACTAGAATTTACCCTTAGAATGATAGATGGACAGTTGTGATGTCACATGCACGAATTCCTCAATGTTTTTCAAGAACTCATATGAGTTCTTTTTATTTTGGATATAATTCGTTATACATCCAAGCTCTCAAATTTTGAATATCCATCTGCAACATAGATGTAATTTTACGGGTCCGTGCAACTACTTTGAAAATAAAAATTAGTCAATCCTTACAGTAAGAAGTCGACACTACTTGGTCAACCAACAAGCTGCAAGCAACCAACTTGAATTCTACAAAAAACAAACCCATCAATATCACCATCACTTTGAACAAAACCTAATGTACTCCTTTGCTTCAATCAACCAACTTCAATTCTTCTAATAACATCCTCATCTATATCACCATCATTTTGAACACTATACTCGATCGTGGCATTCCTCCACTTCAACCAACTAACGTGAATTCTAGTAATAACATCCCCTTCTATATCACTATTAAATCGAACAAGGCATGATGCATATATTATTCACTTCAACCAACTAACTTGAATTCTACTAATAGGTAAATTTATATCAATCAATACTTATGTATTTACATAGCTAACCCATACGCTTCAATTTTTATGAAGATTTCATACATACCACTCTATATTTATGTATATTCATAACTAACACATTAGCTACATTTTTTATGAAGATATTCATATATACCACTCAATTCTTATGCATATACATACCTAACCTAAACTTCAACTTTTACATACATACCACATAAATAACACCTAAACTTCAACTTTTACATATATACCACATTTACATAACAAAATAAAAATTCAAATGATAGATTTAAAGGAGCAAATGAAATTACCTTTTTAAATATTTTCTAATTAGAGCAAAGCGGAAAGATGAGTACTACGGGAGTTTCAATGGTCTCTATAAGCCGAGTACTGTCATTTCCTTCCCAGCTAAGCTAGCTCTTAATGGTGACCGTACCACAAATTGTCATTCGGGGAAGACAATGATTTTGAGCAAAGCCGTGAGGGAGAGAGAAAGGGGAGAGAGAGGGATTCAAGCAGACAGAAAGACGACAGAGTGCAGAGAGGAAATAAATGAAATTTAGGCGCACGGGATGAGAATATTTGGTCATTTGTGTCAGATTTCCGTTGAATTTGTATCGCACTTAGCTCGACGCTAACAAGTAAAGATTTTGCATCAATTAGTCCGACGCAAAATCCGTTGCTACTCTAAAGAAAGTTTCACCGTTTTCATAGTGCTTTTCCATCATATTTTTAGACGCAAAATCCAACACAATTATCAAAATATAGTATTCACCATTTAACACCCACAAATCATACGCTAATATTTGCATAATATTGGCTTCTCCTACATTAATAATCACATAATCTTTATTCCAAAACAAGAGATATAAGCCTATTTGTATATAAACAAGAGAATGGGGGGTGTGGGGGTATATGATTATTAAAATGCATAAGAGGAGAAAGCAAGAAAGTAAAATAAAACTTCACACATATTAAAGTAAAATAATCATGATAAATCTCTCATGAAAAAAGGGTAGGTCATCTAACTTGAAATGAACAAGGGATGATACTAGATCTTGGAAGATTAACATGAATTTGACATGAAAATGCATAAATATAAATTAATCTTAAATCCCAAATTCTAATAAATGCATCTAAATATACTTCAATGATTTATAAAAGATAGTTCTAATAACAAATCTCATCATTTGAACCTAAAATGAAAATGCACACCTTCATGAGAAGAGATGAGAAGGATAAGAATAGACTATTAGCAATGTGAAAGACAAAATTGTGGAGATTAAGGACTAACTCGAGTTATAAATCTTAAGAGGACTCGTGTCAATAAAGTGTCATTAGGCTGTTACCCGAGGGGTCAACCATCAAGAATTAAGATAAAGAGGGGAGACAGATGGGAAGAAATTAAAAGGAAAAGATTTTATATAAAGGAAAGAGTATAGACGTCATGGTGTTAGATTTTTTTTTTTTAAATTTTTATTTTATTTTATTAATCTTACAATGATTATAAGGTGTTAGATATAGCAAAAGTGAATTATTTTGAGACAATATTGATTTAAAAAAAAATCATATTATTATATGCATATTGTACATGAAAAAGATTGCTTTCATTTAACAATTGATTGTTAACTTATCAACTTGGAAAACTTAGCATGTATTCATGTGTTTGCCAAAAAAAAAACCCTCCAAATTACTTGTTAAAGAAAATAACAAAATCAATAAAAAATTGTCTTTTTGCCCAACACTATAATGAATGAAGATTTACTTAAATATCACTAAATTCATATGTATTTACGTATCTGAGACCTAAACTTTAATTTTTACGTACGTACCACCTTATCTATACATGAAAATGTGTTTCACTTTTCAATACTAAAAGATGGTGGTATTTTAAATATAATATGAAAGTTCTTGATGGGTATAAATGCAAAAAGTAAAATTTAAGTGTTTGATATATAAATTAATAAGAAATGAGTGGTATGTATTCAAGCAAGCCAGTATGAGTAGCAATCCTCATCATCAGTCCCACTTACTTAATCTTAAACTTAGCTTAAAAATCAAAATTGACCTCGACAAAGCTTTGTTATCACCTTGAAATGCCTAAAATTCTCAAACCCAAATCCAAACTTTTCACTTGAAAACACTTCCAACATATGGTCTCTTAACTGAGAAAATATTACATATTTTGTAAGTGTTAGGCATAACTCATATATCAGATAAGAGACAGATGCTATAGCGGAACAAAACGAGCAAGCGGAGAGGGAAGCATCTGTCCAATCGGAGGAGTTTAGTTATGTGGGTTGGGGGTGCGGGGGCAACGCTCCCGCGGTATGGTACATGGATAATTTTGTAATTATATATTGTACTCCATGGTTATATATATGTTTGTTTGTAACCCTAAGGGGAATCCTGTACTCTTTTTCTGAATTGGAAGAAAGTCGTCACTCTGTTCCTGAGGACGTAGGCATCTTTGCCAAACCTCGTTAAATCTCTGTGTTTTCTTCTGGATTTGTGTCGATTCTTATTTTTCTTTGTCAAAAATTTCTCAATAGCAAGTATATCCGGATAATGGTGAAGGAGATAACCACGTCATATATAAGTAAAATTATAATGACGTGATCATTTACCCACCATTATCGTCACTCACTTACAAAATATATAATATTTTCTCCTCTCAAACATTAATTCACATCTTCTGCACCATGAGCTAATTAAGAGTTCATTACAAGACAACAAAAACCAACAAAAAAGTCAACTCATGGGAAAACACCTTACAGAAAACTACTAGAAGAAGAAGAAGAAGAAATCACAGCACTGCTAAGCAAATTAAGAACTATGTCCAGAGAGACTCTCTCTTGAGAGGATCCTGACAGCCGCCGCTCGAAGAAGCGAAGTTCATCAGCTGATGAGGAATGGGATCGAGAAGAGAGTTATCATCTTGAGGAGAGATCATATTTTGGTCATGGAGGTTCTCATGAGTCAAGGACTGGTCTTGCTGCATCTGTATACATAGAATTTCAGCTTGTGCTACGGCTAGCTGCATCTGGAGCTGAGAGACTTGATTCTGGAGGTAGGAGATGGCTCCTACACAGCCGTACACCGGATCTCGCATCCTTGCATTAGCTTCGTAGACCAGGCTGCTCACTGCATCAGCTCTCTGATGAACTGGAAGCTCCTGCATTGCATGCACCAAATATAATCAGAGATTACGTGCGAACAAGATATGTATGAATTTAGTGGTATTACCACAACCCCCAAAACACACGCATATTCTAATATGCAGTGTTGCTCTTATCATTTTGTGATGTAGTTTAGTCATGAGAAATATATGTAATCATTTGTATTCATTTAAGACTATGTATTCTTAATGGTTTGTTTGTGTTATTTGTTATAAAGGGAGAGTGCTATGGCCCCATGTTGTATTTGTTCTTCTCTTATGTGTGAGAGAAGAGAAATGTTTTATACATTCATCAAATTTTTATTATAAATATATGATAAGGACCCGCATCTATAAGGAGAGAATATTATGTATGAAGTTTGAATGCATTTGGGCTTCATATACGTTATTATTGTACACTGTTGTACAAACATGTGTACAATAGTATACAACATTGTTATACACAGAACTTAGATGCATCCGAACTCTCAATTTAAAAATTTTTCCTCTATATGTCGCTTCGAGAGAGAGAAAACTCCTACACTACGTCAATGATGCACGTATGAACTACTATAAGTTTCTTATACAAATTTGTGTGTTGAGTACAACAAGTATGACCCCGAGAAAAATCATGTCCAATATAAATGAATAAATAAATAAATAAGACTTCAAACTTTAATGTCAATATACAGATTAGTTTTCAGTGTTGTTTTACAGTATGAATTATTTATTTCTACTGTTATATTAATATCTTATATTTTTATTCAAAATAAATGAAGCACGTTCAAGAGAAAATAACAATCACATCAAATTATGGACCCACTTTCATTCTTAAGAGAATGATTTTGGCTAAACTATGTGAGATATTCTATTATTATTTATTTATTTATATTATTTTTTTGTATTTTAGTGAATCCTTTCCGTTGACTATATCACAGGCCAGCTATATAGAAGGTTTGTCTGAACTTCCTTGATTTTTTAAGGTTGAAACCTACCCCATTTACTTATTTATTTTGGGGTAGGTTGCAACTCTAATCATAACAAGCTTTATGCTACTATTTATTTGTAAGACTGTCAAAAAATTCAAACAAAAAAATTTAATTACTTATTTGAATTTGTTGTAGAAATTAATGATATCTCCATATATTGGAAGCATTCAGAGTTATTGTTCATAAAAATCTATTAAATTTGAATACAAATTAGGTAAAGGCACGTCTTAACTGAGAGAAAAATTATTATGTGCGGAGTCTGTATACATATAAGCTTTGTGTAGAAAAGTGTTGTATTTTATTGTATGTATATTATGCAAGAGTGTACAATATTATTATACGCAAATTATGCATGTATATGAACTCCATACATTATATTTTCTTCAACCGATGAACTTTATCAATTTATAACATATTCTCTTTTAGTTCTTGTTTCAGCATATATCTTTTATATATATATATATATATATATATATATATATCAAAATAATGGTCGGATGTTATTATACGAGCTTCGGTCATTCCTCATGCATCTAAAAATTCGAGTACCATACCCTACACTCGGGGGGAATCGAACCCAGACTAGAGTGACTTACAACTGACAAACAGATGCCCAACTATATATAAGAAGGAAAACAATGAATACCTGCAACATCTTACTAACATTACTGGCTCCAAAGACTTTGTGTACAATAGCGAATTTCTGAGGATCATCAGATGGGAAGAAAGGGGAGAAGATACAGTCCTTGGTGCAACGCCTTCTTAATAGTTTGCAGGAAGCACATGGAGAGTTTCCTCCCATTAATGCTCTTCTGAATCTTACACAAAAGGTTGTTGAGAAATGGTGAGAATTAGGCAGATAATTAATGGCTGATTAACATGTAAGCTGTAATAAGAGAGGTGAAAATGGAAGTTTGATGGATGAGCCTATTTATAGTTGCAGCTTTAAAGTTAGGTGGAGACAGTAAGGACTAATTAAGCCTAGTGAGATTATCCTAATAGGAGAAGCTTAGGGTATATTTTAAATTAATTGTTTTTACTTGGATAAATTTTAAATTCTTAGCTTATAGAGATGTAGTCATGCAGATGTTGACAGGGATAAAATTCTTTATCATTAGGAATCTTAGTTCCAACTCATACAATAAACATATGGAATTAAAAATTGCGTTGTGTTCTCTAAGTGCATGTGGTGAGGTTCATTAAACAAAGTTTAATGTGTACGCAACCTTTCCAAAGAACATTTTGTTTTTTTAGATTGTTCTTGCCATTTGATGGAGAATTTGAAGTGGTTAGTGAGTGAAATTGGATAGTTTTTATTTATTTACACTTAGCATATAAACATTCATTTTTACATTGGCCCCCTTAGACCCAATGTAAGAGGGAGCTGTGGCAAAGAAGGGCAAAGTGATATTTCAAGAGAGACAAAATTGATATTTCAGGAGAAGCAAAAGGTCAAGTTGCCCTCCCACAAATAAAAATTTGATTTTGCCTGTGGAGCTTATCTGGATCTGCCCCTCTATATATAGTTCAAATTTTTAACATCACACCAAAAATATTATCGTCAAGGTTGATTAAACATCATGTTTCATTAAACAAAGTTTAATGTGCACGCTACCTTTAGATTGTTCTTACTATTTGATGGAGAATTTGAAGCGGTTAGTCACTGAAGTTGAATGACTGCTATTTATTTAGACTTAGCATATAAACGCTCATTTTTGCATGCATATATATATCAAATGGTGGATTGTAGTGCAACGAAGGACAAAATGATATTTCATGATGTACAAAAGTGCAAATTACTCTCCTATAAATAAAAAAACGAATTTACCCCCGAATCTGCCACTCTATCTATCGTTCAAATTTTTAACATCACACGAAAAATATTATCATCATTATTTTTTGTAAGTGAGATATACATTGAAAATATCAAACTTCAGGTGCGTTTAATATGTAAATATATAAAAAGAAAATTAGTGAAATGTTTGTAAAGCCCTGTGAATTGCTCTCATGGTTTAATTTAGTGTCATGTCAGAAGAACAGAAGCTTAAGTAAAAATGAAGAAAGGAACCTGCAGTGTGCAGAGGCACCCTTCTAATTTATTTCTCTTGTCTTCACATGCATTGATTAGCTTCAAAAATGGCGTTTATGCAATCGAAGTGAGCTCTCCCTATCCAATTATTGTTTGTAATTAAAGCTTTTGTTTGGCTTCTACGCTTGCCTCTTGATTCCTCTCTGCACATCAGAAAACTATTTCTTTGTACAGAGAGAAACATTAAATCCCCAACGTTCGGAAATGGTGCAAACCCTAACCCTAGATTGAGAGAGAGAGAGAGAGAGAGAAAGAGGACCTCGACGTGAATGTTTGTTGCAGACATTCACATGGACACGTATCAATCCATGCACTGTTTTTAAAATTACACGCATTAGGGTTTGAAATTAAATATTATTAAAATAACATATCAAAATGGAATCAATCGTTGAAACTACAAATTTCCATAACCCTAAGTCTTAGGAGATGCTTGCTTTCTTCGCATTTAATGGCTTCACATGTCTTTAACCCCACTCTTCTTCTTCTTCTTCTTCTCCTTCTTCGCTTCTCTTTCAAGTGACACAGCTAATATATAATACTCGTATTTTTCATGTATATCAATTTCTCAATAGTTTGATTGTGGCATGAGTAAATACATCGGGTTCTGTAGTTTAAAAAAATTGCATGAATGATTAATTTGTAAATATCAATATTTTGAGTGACCTGTATGCATGTAATTATCCTTAAATTTTTTTTTTTAAGATAATTATATGAACTTGGAGAGGGATGCAGGAAAACAACCACATGACATGCATAATTTAATACTTATATTTTATGTTGCTTTTTAACTATTATGATGTGGGAAATTTACATGCATAACAAAATTCTTATGTATTTATGTAAAATATCTAGCACCCCAAAATTGGCACCATTGGTTATATTTATAACACATCGGTGTCATAACCTATGTATGAAAAGATGTATTTCACTTTTAAGAAGATAATGATAATGATTTTTCTGATATAATATGCATATAAATTTGAATATTTTAGTGTCACATATCTATGTAAATCCATAAGAATTATGTGGTATATATGCAATAAAAAATAAAAAAAAAGAAAAGAAAAGGACTCATGATGCAGTAAATTAAGAAGCCACAAAGGAGTGATAAGTGTCAATATAAGAGTCTTAATAATAATAATAATAATAATAATAATAATAATAATAATAATATTTGGATAATAGGATAAACTCAATTTTCGCAAGGCATATATGATTAAAATAGCCTTAATAATGGTCTTCATTTAGAAAATTATTTAGCCAACTTATATAAATTATAGATCTTGTTTTTACTAAGCATATTGTCATGCCTTCATAATGCTTAGTTCCTTATATATATACATGTATTGAAAAGAAATGACCAGAGGTTATTATACGAGGCTCCAGCCACACCTATGTGCCTAACAATTCGAGTAGCATTTTCTTAAGGCCAACTGTACCAGAGGGGATTCGAACCCCTGACCCGAGGAGTCTTATATCGCGGATGCCAACCAACAGGTCGGGATACGAGGCATTCACACATACACACAAAACATTATTAAGCATTATGAATAGATTTATACATACATATATGTATCTATATATATACATTCATACATATATGTATTATATAAACTATTTATGGAAAAAAAAAGTAATTTATAGCCTCAAACTACCTTATTCATGATAAATGATGCATACATTTTACTTTTTTAAGCCACATATATGTAACATTATATTCAAGTTTATTAATATCATAAAGATTAATTTATTCACATGAAGAATAATTGGGCAGGTGAGCAAAGCTCATAAATGTGTTGTTTTCTATGTCTATGATTCTGCACAATATCATTACAGAATAATACAGTATAGTATTAATTGAAAAAATATTACTTTTACATACCAGAAGAGTATGATATTTACATTTATTTGATTTGTAAAACTATCAATCTTCTTAAATAAAAAAAAAGGGCATATATCTATGGGATTTTTTTTTCAATACCTATTGGAATTTCCAAATTAATTAAAACTCTGTTTTAATTTTAATAATCGTTGGAATTCATTAGTGTTTTTAAGAGAAATAAAAAATAAATTTCAGAATGAGGTTCATATAATGTCTAAGTTCAACACATGAATTTAGTAACATTTCATAATGTGCTCATATCTATTGAACTTTGTGATGGACAGAACACTATAAATTAGATGTGATGCTTGTTGTTTTGGTCCATAAGCTTGCTCATCTTCATTTTATTTGCACTATCAGATTGTGAGTGAGAAAAACTTAGAAGATCTATAACAGAAAATTTGTCGTGTGAGTTGTGAGTGTCAACTCTATTCGTATAAGTTATGGCTGGAGGTATGTATGATCCTATCTCGCTTTCGCTTATCGATTCAAATATGTTTGTAGATTGAATAAAGTTGTGAGATTTTACAATATGTACATGCCTCACAGCTCCAATGAATTTACATGTCTAACACACACAATTTAATATTTACATATGTAGCACAACTGATCAATTTAGATGTTAGATATGCAAATACAGAATTGAATGGGATATATGTTGTGAAATGTGTGAAGATTTGGTCAATGACAATGTATAGCGTAGCATCTGCTCATTATCTGCTGAGCATTTAATTTGCTGTCCTTCTGACCCCATCACATGCTGCCAAAATGCCACACTAATAAATTATGAAGGGATTATTACATACAGATCACAACAAACATTGCTATTTACAAATCATACAACTATATGTCTTTTAAACTATGAAATGGATGCATTTGGAAGAATCACATATTCTGAAATCTTTAAATAACATCAAAATAATGCTATTATTTACATTGTAGAAGTAAAGTATATGCTCTCATGGCATGGTTTGTAACACTTGATGTTTTAGTTTGTTTGAAGTGAGTTGTCATGAACCTTCACAAGAAATCGACAAATTGTTGCAATATGCAATTATAATTTAATAAACAGAAAGGGCATAGATGCAATATAGAAAATCTTTTCTGTCTGCCACTTGTACAGTCCGACCCCACCGTATATTAAATTATTTAGATTTTTTTTTCTTAAAAGGGCCTGAACTATTCACGTGACAGGCAGTGATTGGAGTCATGATGACTAGTCTAACTGTGACTAAGGTAGGTTTGTAATGATGTGTTCTTGGCATGTTTACACAAGATTGAGCCATTTGTGATCTAATTGGGTGAGCTTTGGAATGTTATGTGTCAATAAATATAAAATTAAACTAAATGATATAAGCATTTACGCGCATACCGCCCCCAATTCCTATGTATTTACATACCAAATGTCTAATCTTTTGCTTTTTTATATTTATATCACCCAAATTTGTCATATCACATAAGAAAAAATACTACTATGTTGACATTTAAAATATGAAATGTACTTTTTCTTGTATAATTAATGTGACATATATAAAAAGAAATAAACTTTAGGTCTTATGCATGTAATAAATACATAGGAATTGTGTGATACTTATGTAAATTACTCTATATTAAATTGCATGCAAACAACATAATCAATTGACAATTTTAGCAAAAATGTAATGCAATTTTATGATTAAGTAAAATTGGTTAACATTATGAGTGATCATCGCTAATCATATGATAAACAACTTAACCCTATTTTTACAAAATAGATAACATTTAAAAAATTTCTCTCGTTAGCAAATAGAAAATAAGAAGTCTCCGTTGTGGGCAGCTTATTTGGTGCGGT